TGGACACATAAAAAAAACACACATCATTGTAAATTGAATACATTCATGATACATAGCTCTGCTCAGAATCTAAAATATCAAAAATACATAATCACAGTTTTTTTTTATAAGTGTTTAAACTTCAAATTGTTTAATAAATATATTAAACCTTACGTTTTGAGGGATTGAAGTTCATATTTTGATAATTAGCTGATATTTAAATTTTAAACTTAAAATAACGATTTATCTTTTCTTTAAACAATTTTTGTTTTTTGGTTACTTTGTCATTTATTCTAAAAAAATGATTCTTAAGAAACTGAAAGTTATCGTTATACTATACGTTTATTATATTGTTTATTATTATTTATATTATAAACAATTTAATAATGATTTTTTAAATGTATAAATTAAAAGCTATAATTTATATCACGATCCTATTTACACTATTCTAGGGCGGTACCTCACTGTTGGTATTTATTTATCAGTTTTAATAAGAACTAGTTGTATACTTATACTTCTATATTATTGTAATAACTACTATATATATATATATATATATATATAATAACTATATACTTAATAATATATTATATATTACAAAAACTTTTAAGGAATTTTGTACAAACATGTTGAAACCTTAGGTGTTGCAGCTTAATAGCGTTGGTATAACAACATTACAATTTTACAACCCAATTTTTCTAAAACGATAAACCAATAATTATAGTACCAATTATTATTAGCTAGGTAGCTACTTGAATTGTAAAACGAGAAAAAAACCTATAGGTAAGCGTTAGCCCATGTTTATTATAAGGGTAATAGTAATCAGTGCAAAAAGATAAGTGTTTTGTATAGCCTTGTAGGTATATTGTGATAAAAAGAAACTGATAGAAATACTGTTTTGCGTCGGCTTCGCGCGTTAACTGCTCATAATTTATTATTATATTTTATATAAGAATTTCTTTAGAATTATTTTCTCTACAAATTCCAATTTATTTTATGATGCTATTATAACGTCATTACTCATTAAACAGGCTTTATTTTCTCTAAAAACCATAGGATATAGGATATAACAAAATAACTATTAAGTTAGGAATATTTTATTATTTTATTGCTAACAATTGTTAACTTTTTTTTATTAGGTTGGTGAGTATACTAATAAAAATCCTTAAATATTTAGCTACAAGGTAGGTATAACCTGTAGTATGAAATAGAAAAATATTTATAACATTTTAAAAATCGTAATAGTAATAACTAATAAGTAACATTGTACCATATGGATTGGAGTCATAATTGTGCGGCGGTTTTTTAACAGATGTTTAGATGTCTTTGTGTATTATATATTATTATGTTGAATGACATTTTGCATCAACTGATTTCGCTGGAACGATTGTATACCGTCTGCCATATTATTAGTGAAAACGTATTATTTATTTCTTCCGAGAACTCGGTAAGTCATTATATATAAGTATATAACTAAATATATTATAATATATTATACTTGTTCAGAGTCAGACTTCTCCTGACCGCTAGTGCTCAATATTGTGGACGAGGCATAGATATAATTATGGTAATTCGGCCCCCCCCCCCATTTTATACCTATGAATTATTATTATTCGTTTAGAAGATTAAATAGATATAGAAAATGAACACTTTGTCAAATCTAGAAACATAAAATAAAATATGTAATAATAACATATTATGTTTACAAATTTACAATCTTGAGAAGTTCTCAACTATTATTAAGACAATGACATTATCATTGTATATACGAATTGTATTTAGTACCTTTATGTATAAATAAACTCATACCTATCTAGTCGATTGAGCAATGGCTGATAACTTGAATTATTATTTTTTAATATGCTAAAGTTAAATATCCAAAAGTTAAAAATATTTTAAATAAATTAAGATTGTTAATATTTCTCAAGCTATTATGGAAGCTCTGTCAATGATACATGGTTATTGATTTGAGATATTATTTATATTTAGTTTTTTAAAGTTTTTATTATATCTTGTATATTTTTATTAATAATAATAATTAAAAATAAGAAAATTATGATATTGACGTATTGTAATTTAAACAAATATGAAATAATGACACAATTTTATTTGGTGTTATTTTTACAATGTTTGATGTCATGAAAATGGAAAAGTCGTCTGGTGTGTACATGTACATTTCTGGGCTTATCAAAATATATGTTGTTGCCTCCCCATACCAAATCAATTAAGGGGTGGAGCCCTTATTTCCAAACCAAAGGGCTCGGACTGGGCCTTTTCGACCCTGTACATGGATTAATTTAATCAGTGGCCCTGTCCGACACTGGTTGTTCAGTGTTCTATGTATATTTTTCAAGAGCTTAGAATGCTTAGATCCTTAGGTAGTCTTATATTTATATTAAGTTGTAAATTGTGTAAATTGTAATATATTATATTATATTTGTTTAAGGCCATCACGTTGTATATGCTTTAAGTTACTTTTTTATTTGGTCAAGTTACATTATATTTCAGTTTAAAAATTAACTTTTTTTCAAAAATATCACTGGAGCTTAATATTTATGTTGTCAATACGACAATATATAATCTAAATAATGACAACCAACAATATGAAATTATTAACAGATAATAATTTTCCTACACTATTGTTATTATTATTGGGTATTAAATATTATTATTTTTATTGAACTTAAGCCCGTGTATGTGTGGCAAGGTTTTTACTACTACGGACCCGAGTGGTCACCCATCCGGGAACTAGTGGCAGCAGGCGTTACATACTCTCAGTCGCGGGCGGGACTGGTATAGCAACCAACACTAACAACGAACACTGCTCACTGCTGTACGTGCAAACGCCAACGCCGTGAGCCGTCCACAATAATACAACTCAGAGATAGAATTCCATTCTAAAAGTAACATTTTATCGTTAAATAGTCAATAGCTATAACAATACTATTACAGTTCAGACAATTTTACCTATAAATTATAATAGGTACTTATAAGCATAGGCGTGCTCAGACTTAAATTTCTGGTCGAGCCTAGACAATTATAGTGCCCTAATATTTGGACAGCGCCCCTAATTTATTTTTTAACACACCAATATACATGTTGATGTATTAACCTATTAATGTCTATAGTACTATAGTTATTGTATTTGTATAAAGGTATAATGTTATTTTTTAGATTAATAAAATGTATGTAATGGTTAGGTTAGGTATGTAGGTACACACAAATATTTTTGATTTTTTTATACTTTCACGACAAACAAAATTTTCATGATCTCCTATTATAATATAAGCATTATAATAAAATATTTAAATATATACCTACTCACATTTTACTATGCCCCTAAAAAGTTTCAGGTCGAGCCTGGGCTCTCCCCGTGCGCACGCCTATGCTTATAAGTTATATTATGATACATTTTAATATTTACATACAATATTATCAATGTGTTCTAAAAACTTATTAAACCAAAATAATGTAACGAGTAATTTAGTAATAATTACTACTAAGTTTATCAATTATAAATATTATTTAAGATTAATCTTTCGTAAATTCTTTCAAACAATATTTTAGATTCTGAGAGGAGCGATGAGTGTATTGATTTTACAATGATGTGTATATTTTTTAATTTAATTTAATTGTTGTGTCTGTCATCACCGTTTTGGTAGAGTAACACTGCTCCGATTTTTGTCAACAGTATCTAGATAGTAAAACAAATCTAGTTGGTACATTCGGGAGGTCAAAATTTGAAATTCTCTATATAGTTTTTAAGAGAGCACTAGCGCAGTGAAAAACAAAACAAAAATTAAGGAAAAACGGTAAAATTTAATAATACATTTTAGGTAAATCCTAACTGTAGCAACTTGAAATTTATACCATATTCTTATTTTATCAATTCTATACTTAATACAATTTTAAAAATATTTTGAATGTTTTAGAGGTGTTAACAGACATTTTCAGTTTTCAATTTTTTTAGTTTTTTTTCTATAAATGTTAATAAAATTGTATTTGTTGGGTCAAAAATCGTGAAAAATTAATACGAGGCTCCTGATATTTTGTTACAATAGTTGTTGAAAAATATTTAAAATACATAGGTACAATGATTTTTTATAAGCATTTAAAGTTCCAATTTTGACAAATTTATCAAATTTAAAATTATAAAACGATTTTGTAATTAAAAATTTATAAAATGTTCAACTTTTTATAGCTAAGGATTGAAAATTTAAAACAAGGTTTCACGTAAGTAGGTTATTCTGTAACCAAAAAATCTCAAAAATGTAAAACACAGTTTTTTTTTATAGTTATTTGAACATCTTAAAATTTGGACAAAATTACATATTGAATAACCGAGAATAACGATTTTATTTATTTTGTTGTAATTTTATAATATTAATTAAACTTACCAGCTACCGCCTGCCGTATTAATTATAAGTAATAACAATATAAATATAATATAAAATGTCCACACTGACAAACCATCTCCGCAAAAAATCCTTTTATATTATAATTTATCATTGAATTCAAATTTAATACCATCAATTAAACAGTGACATCCACTTATCCACTTTTTTTTATGAACCTTATCTATTTTTTCTTAATAATATACGTTTGATTAAATGCATTTATAATATTTTACGCATAATCTTCTTGATAAGGTAGGTACTTATTTCAAGCCTTAGACATGACTGTGATTTGATTGCAATACCCAATTTTTTGCCTTTGGAAAAATAACTTGTTACATATTTTCCTATTTTTCAATGCATATAAGTGCATTCAAAATATGTCATGGTTGTTGATGTGAATTTCACAGCTCCCGCAAATAAATAAATTATTTATTAATATTGCACATTAATAAATTGCAAGCTGAGCACTTCTCGCTCGCCGCAAACGACAATAATAACGGCCGTCGACTTGCGCACGCACACGCGCGGGATGACAACACACATTACTCGTGCAAAAAAAATTTAGTGACCGCCGACGCCGCCCGTAACCGGGCTCGACTCGACGGTACCAAATCCCCGACCGGTTCAGAACCGCCGAACACGATCAGAAACGTATCGGTATTGCCGGGTCCCCACCGATTCGGGTGTTGTGGACGGCACGCGGTGGCGGGAGGGGGAAACGGCGGACGCGGCCGTCGACCCGGCGCGCCGCGCGCGCATTCGGTACGAACAACAACACCGCACGCATAGAGAAGTGCCTACACCGAAACACGTTCGCCACTTCACCAGTCTCGCCACCGGTTGCACGGCATTACGGCAGTCCGCTCCGTGTATCGACAAGGTCGCCCTCGCATCATCTTCGGCTTCTCGGCGTTTTCGCATCGTTGTTCGTAGGGCACCGATTTCCCGAGTCAATCTCGCATAAAAACCGCGGGCGCATCGGGGCTCTCTGGCCGTGATCGATTCCGGCCCGATGGAGGGTTTCAAGGACCAAGTGATGAACTTGTTGAACGGCAGCGAGGCGCTGTCCGGCGACAAGATAATGTCCGTCATCAGCGAACTGCAGCCCGTCCTGCCGTCGCTCAAACATCTGAAAGTGGTGAGTGCCTGCCGTAGACGTCATGAGCTGATTATTTATTATATTACGGAATGCCCTTCTCCCATGACCAGCAGCTATCGTGGTCAAACGTTGTCTTATGACAGACGTAAACACTCAATTTTGTTGTTGGAAAGAGATAGGTAGTTGATACTTAATAATTATTATGCTCATAATATAATATTGTGATTGACCTAAAGTGTAGGTGGTATACTATATTTTTCAAATAATGTTGTTGATGTCCTGTCTCTCGATATTAATAGATATTATTAGTCATGTCTCATGTGCCATATACCAAGTCATGTGATATTTTTCCCCTCCCCTGACCTCTTTCACCCGACTTAAAGTACATTTTCTAGTCCATTTCTTTATAGAAAGACTTACCTGAAGACTTCTTTATTTATTTCAGGGCCTGCATGGTCCTTACCAAATAAATACCTGTTGCCACGTAATTTCGTTGTACTTACGATTTATTCAACTGGCACGACAAATGACTACAATACCTATAGTGACAGGTGACAATAATACTATAATATATAATTTTTCCCAGTAAACATTGAGTGATTAGTAGTTATATAGTACTCGGTACTCAGTAAACAATGACGACAGTGGTCACTGGTCATAGCAATAATGTAAATTTGGGGCCTTCAACTATAAAAAGGAAATACGAATCACTACGAAAATGAAATATTGAAAGATTATGGCTATTTGCACTATTCCTTTTTATTTATAATTTGTGGGTTGTGGGTACCTTACTAGCTCACTACCTCATAACTCAAAACCTTCGTGTATCGTGCCATAATAATCATATGGATAAAGAGTACTGTGTTTGACTACATGATTGAGTTTAATATTTTTTTAATGGTGCAATACTTTTTAGTAAGTTAGGTACCTATCCATGATTAGAGACACTTAGCACACTAATAGTAAAGCATTATAATTAGTATGTTTATTCTGAAATGAATGCGAATGACCATAATAACTCGTTTCAAATTTATTTGTTTGTCTACCCTATGTAATAGATAGACCTATCTGTATTGTAACGTGTCCGATCGTAATAAACGAAATAACTGTACTTGGTACTTTTCGGATTCCAATAAAATTAAAAGTATAAAAACTCCAAGTACGTAGTTCTAAATCGGGCGTAGGTATCTAAAATGTGTGTCGTGTTTTCATGCGTTCGCGGCAATAACCATGGCCAGTCACGATAACGATAAAACTTGTTTCTACAGCTCTGGGAGACTACGACGACTTACCTAATTATATATAAATACATTTCTATTATTCCGTGGCTATTCGGCATTCACGTCGTATTTCTAAAATCGTAACGAACAATTTATTATTGTTATTTATTATTGTTTTCGGGGCCCATTTCGTCGGGTTCGGCACTCGGCCTACACCCTGCACGTATCCTAGGTCCTGTGGCGGCGGGGAACGGAGATAACGGAATTTGCTAGGTTTTTTTCCCGTCGAATTATTATACGAGGACTGAGGGGGGGGGGGCTCCTGCAGTATTGTTTTCTATAATATCTCGGCGGATGGATCTCCCAGGCCAAATTCCAACGGGAAACGCGCCAAGAGCTGAAGTTTACGTATAGTTTTCAATTCCAACACTCGTATAAAATGTAACGTCACAGATTATCGTAAAATACTAAAACGATAAATATCTGCTGGCCTTTACATTCGTCTCTAATATTTACTGTTATAATTATTCAGTGGTTGAATTGGGGGGGGGGACGCGGGGGGACGGAGTCCAACTTCTATTTTTAAAATATTTTAGCGTACCCCTTCTAATTTCAAGAATTGATAAGACATTTAAATGTTGGGGGGACGCACAAATGTTTTATACTTTTGCATACCCCTTCTATTTTTTTTCCAATTCAAGCACTGTAATTATTATAATACAGTTGTTGAGTATCGAGATTATTTAATAATGTTTTAAGTGGCGGCGGTGGCACTAATAATTATAAGGAATGACGTTTGCCCGGCCGGCGATAACGGTACATCGATATAACAACGGTCTGCGGAACTGGTAGACGCGCAGACGGCGTGAATTAAAACCTATTTCTATTTTTTTTTTTTTTATAACATTATCGAAAAAAAAAATGTATTCTTAGAAAGATTTCGCCTACGGATGTGCCACCGACCTTATCGACTTTTATTCGGTCGAGTTAAAGCCGATTTGGGTATGCAAACAAAAATAATATCAATCTGTAATAAATATGCACGTCTTTTTATAAAACGTCGTTTTCTTCCACTCCTGTCTGGAATCCGGATTATGTTTTTAATCGTTATCGGTGTAAGGTACATGCTTTTATTAATTTATACCATTGTTTCGGTTCACGTGCACGCAGATAATTTGCCAATAGTGTTGAACAGTAGAATAGGTATTAATGTATTGTTATAAATTATAACATTATATATTTATATCCGATTATCGACAGTCGGTGGCAAGTTGTGACAGATATGGCAGTGTATGTCACCCTTTACTACCCTTTTAAGGTGCTACTTATCACAACAAAATTCATTTTTTCCTCGACTCTTTTTCGAAAGGGCAGAAAATATTTTCATTAGCTTTCCACTATTATTAAAAAAAATAATTAACCTTTCAATTGAAATCGCCCGTTTTTCAGTCAATCGGACTGCTACTACCGCGCTGTCTCGGTGGTACCTCATCTTTATTAAACGGACGAACATTTATTATAAAATATAATATTTACTGGTAACTTACAAATAAACGTATCAAACTGTATATATATTATGAAATTCGTAAAGCTTAATATGGGGAAACAAAAAAAATACGATTTTGCGTCAGGATTTATATCAGGCGTACTGCTTCAGACGTATTTTAGGCATATAATTTATATTCTAAAATAATACGAACTAAAATAGAAAGGGTGCAACGGCTTTTCTAAGTTAAAGGTAAAGGGATGTCTTGCACGCGTTTACGTGATATCAACACATCACTGCGGTGGGCGGTTTATAAGTTGGAACATTAATATCATCGCCACAATATAATTTTCAAAGTCGAAAATTATTATGCTTATTTAATCAATAAGTCTTAGTAAAAGTTATTGTAAATTAAAAACTACAAGACTTTAATTTTGTCTTGATATAAAATAATTTTCGCCCCTAAACATTTTCCGTCCGGGCCAAAACTGCCCCTTTTTCTACCTCCTCATAACACGAAACTGACTACGGTGAACTAGATAGTAGCTGATATAGTAATGTTTAGTATTATTTTGTAATATTATACATTATACCTACTGTCTCTCAAGTGCGAGCTCAGGTGTCAACTATTTGTTGAAACTTGAAAGTATAAGATTACTTAAATATTAAATGGAAATCCTTGTACATATGGCAGCAGTGGGGGTGGGATGGACACATTCCTAAGCGATACATGGATCTCATCATATTAGTGGGGCCACGTGAACCAGAGCCGCAAGCTGTTTCACCGCAATAACAAATTAGGTACAGCTTCAACTGTTTTAATAAAAACAATTTTTTTTAAAAATGGCCCAGGGTTATTGGTTAGGTATTTATTTAAATAGTTTTATTTTATAAATTATGTGTTTATTCAACCTAACCATATCCAGGCATCACTATGGAAACTTTTATATAATTATACTTCTAATAATTGTAATTAATGCTCCTTCCTCCCCCCCCCCCATTGCACCATAGTAAATAATCAAAGAGATCGTTAGGCCGGGTAGATAGCAAATTGATTAATTTAAATTACTTAAGATTTCTTAGATTATTTAATATTAGTGAACCAATCATAATGGCCAATGGGTCATTAAATCACGTGTAAGTGATGTCAATGTGTACAATGACGTGTATAGTGATTTGCTCACTATTGATTAGAAATGTTTAGTGATTGATGCAACCTGGTATTATAATAGTTACCTACTTACTATCGATTTTTTACCATCACAAGTAAGGAACTATTGTTTGTTATTATTAAAGTACCTAATTAAGTCAAGAATATGTAGGTATTTACAGTTTACAACATAAGAACTTGTATAAAAGTCCAAAGGATAGTACCTTTAACATTTTTCAAATTTCTGCCACACAAGAATTTTAGCTTTTTGAGTTATAGCTTAATTTCCTATGAACATATTATTAAAAGTAACATTTCCAAAATATAAAGATGCCATTAAAATTAATGAATCTGCTACATCATTTTTTTTAAGCGAAACTATTCAACCGAAATAATATACTGTTACCCTGCGCCCATAATACAAGTTACAACTTTGTCGAATTTTCTACCCACCTGTTTTTAATTATAAAACCCACTATTCACGATAAACCTTAAGTAGGTAGTGTTCCATATATGAAATTGACGAAAATGTATGCACTAATTATGAAATTTAAAATATATTGCCTGGCAGGTTATATGTATAACCTATAATTCTACTATTTTTACTCTATATTTATCTATTGTGATTTAAAATGCGTATTGAAATGCCTGCCTCTTTATCATAATTTCAATTAATATTCAAAATATATTTGAACAGCTTGACAGTGATGACTACTGATGAGTGATCATTAAATAGACTATGAAAATCTGTGTAGGCTTTTAAGTACCCACATAGAGCCGTTTATAATATATATACACAGCATTGAAATTATAATTAAGTTAAGTAGATTGATTATTATATTGGCAATATTTTGTATAACATTGTCGTTATCTACCATAGTTCGTACCTAAATCGAGTTTTTCATTAACTAATTGGTTAGACCGACCGCACGCTACATTTAGCATGGCACGTTATTGTAATATTATGCAGTACGGTAGGTAAAGATACGCTAGAGTGTATACAATAATAAAATTTAAGTATAAATAAATTATATAAACACATTTGATACAATGATACACCTATTCCGTTATGACTCTTCGGACTAGGAATGTGTTATTATGAATGAATAATAAAATATTTTGTATATTATGGTAATTGATAACTATGTAGGTAGGTGTGGATCTTGGATGAATAATATTAATA